AGAGCTGTTTCCTAGCCTGATATTTCCTGCAGATGGTAAAAAGCAGTTCTCTTTGCCTTAGTCCCCTGCCTAGGGAGCCTAGGTTCTAGCCTGGCATTCTTTCCCTTCCATGTTTGGGGGAGGAGTCTACTCTAAGACAGGTTCACCTTCCCCTCTGCAGCCACCTAGGAAAAGGACATAGGACAAGGCACACTAAAGTGGTGGTCTCTCAGCACTCTTGATCCTGAAAGCATATGAAGACTGTGAAAGTCAGGGACCCTCACTTCCCTCCCATGGTAAACACAGAGGAGCTGAGGGTTCCTCAAGCAGTTCAGCCATGGGACCCAATTGGCCTGGGTTGTATCCAAGGATGTCACCGGGCACTCAATTTGTTTTCTGGATTCTTTCGAGACAGTTTCTGTTTGGGGGGTTCTAGGTCTCTACAGGTGACCTCAGATACTGTAAGGATAGACCACTTTGTACACACAGTTATCATTCCTTATTGCAGTTTTGTTGACATGTTTTTTCTGTCCCCCTATGCTGATCTTCATCAAGAAAGAATCTAACTTACTCATCTTTGTATCTCATCTAGCAGTGCATGCCACATAGCGGGCAGTCAGGGAATGTTCGATGAGGAAAAGGGAATATAAAAGGATTGTATCTTTCCATGTGCCTGGGCACAATTAAATTGATCCTATTAAGTCTTCATATTTTGAGTCTATCCGTGTCCCTCTATTGATAGACCTGAGTTTTTCTGCAAGTGTCTGAGTATGCTTTCATCTTTGAACAGTAAAGATATCAATATCGATGGGTGTGCAGTAGTAATCCCCACACCAACTCCCTTTCCCTGCGCAGACAAGGCTACTTGGAGAAGCTACATAATCGATCTTTATTTATGCACAGCTGTAGCGATGTCTAATTATTCCTATTAATAACAGTCCGCCGCACACTTACACAGGCACATCTCTAACACAGGATTCTTAAATCTTGGCTGCCGCGGGGCCAGAGGCTTAAGATCGGCCCCAGACTCTTCCAAATTGTGAAATGCCAGACCTGCCTTTGGTCCTAGGCTGTGCGTGCCCGAAAGCGCCCTGAGGCTCGAGACGCTTTCCCTTTACTCCCTCCTCCTTCCCAAATCAGCCACCATGGGTCACCACTACACTACACTTTATTTCTAAGCAAATCTCGGAGAAGTCTTGAGGCATACTTTTTGCAGGCGGACAACCCCGCTCACATCGCTGTCTCTCGGATCAGTGCTGGCGATGGCTACGTCCCCTTGCGCGCTCCCGCGCGGCCCACACGCGCCCTCGACGCAAGCGCACGCGCACAGGCGCCCGGACGGCGAAAATCTCTTCAGCCTCCCAGGCGCTTCCGCCTTCATCCTAGCAACGCCCGTTGTGACGCAAAAGGCCCCACCCCCTCCCGTGCGCCTCCCGGAAGTTGCCAGCCTGGAGCTGAACGCGGTTCCTCGCCGGGCTTGGTTATAGTCTCCTGGGGAGAGGTCCGGGCGGGGAGAGAGCGTCCGGGCCCGGGCTGGATCCCGACATTCACATGCGCGGCGCGGAGCGGAGCGAGACCTAGTGACGATGGCAGGGCCGCAGCCCTTGGCGTTGCAGCTGGAACAATTGTTGAACCCGCGACCGCGCGAGGCGGATCCTGAGGCCGACCCGGAGGAGGGTGAGGCTGACTGGGGCAAGACCACGTGCGGAGCTGTGGGCCCGGCCCTGTGCGGACCTGGGCGCCGTGTGTGGGGCCGGCCTACTCTCCTTGTCCTTGTGTAGAGGAAAATTGCCTCCCGGGAGGGTTGCCCCGAGCTCCGGAGGACGGCTTCGGCTTCTTTCTGACACGCACTCTAGATTTGGTGCTCGGGTGGGCGGAGCATCCCGCGAACTCAGGCTAGGGTTAATTGTTGGTCGAGGGCTGTCGCAGGGAGCCGGAGTCTGGTAGCAGTTTGGGAGTTATCTTTCAGGATGCTCTTACCCGGATTGCGTTAGAAATGAGAAGAAAGTCTTACCCATTTTTAAAACTGTCCGTGAGAACTTGGAGAATGAAAGAAGTAGACTTCCATGGTCTTGTTGGAGTCTCTTCAGTCCACAAGACATTTGTTTAGGGACTGATGAGTAAGACTGCTGTTCTGTAAGTTCACGTTCAAGGTATAGTTGGGAGTAATCCTGCTTTTGACTTGAGTCAGAGAAGTGTGAGGAAGGGAGAATAAGGAAGAATAAATATGAGTGCTGGATCGTGTTTTAGGAATATCAGTTAAAGGAACTAGGGCTATTTAGCCAGGATAAGCAAAGAAAATTCCCGGAGATGCAAAGGAGTGAGGATAGAACATGTTGATGGCTGACATACAACATTTGAGTGACTGTCATACATGGAAGAAGAATTACACTAGTTTTACATGATTCAAGGCATAGAAATAAATCCTAATAGTAGAGACAGAGTCAGCTTTCTGTTCAGGAACAGCAGTTAAGATAGAATTTTACCCTGGGAAGTAATGAGTTCCCTGTTCTAGGAAGTTGGAGATTTTGTAGAGGACATTCAAGTATTTGTTGAAAGGGTTGGACAGGGTTACCATTAATTCTGACCTGGAGATTGATTAATTTCTCCCCTCCCCCACAGCCACTGCTGCCAGAGTGATTGACAGGTTTGATGAAGGGGAAGATGGGGAAGGTGACTTCCTGGCTGTGGGTAGCATTAGAAAACTGGCATCAGCCTCCCTCTTGGACACAGATAAAAGATATTCCGGCAGGACAACCTCTAGAAAAGCTTGGAAGGACGATCATTGGGAGCATCCACTGTCAGGTTCATCTGGTGAGTAGACATATTTGCCTTTTATTTTTCCATTGTACTCATTCTCTTCCCTATTTTTTTTAGAGTTAAAATAACCCTCTCTTTTTTTTAATGACCTTTGCAAGACTAGTCTGTGTACCCCCACCTGTTATATTAAGAGAGACCTGTGATTTGGCATTAGAAAGGGCCTTAGAAGTACTTAATTTCACTTCATAGGAATCTAAACCTGGAGCAGTTAAGTTGCTATATTCCTTATGTCTAGACTAATATAGTTCACTCTAAATGAGAGAAAAGGCAATGCATATTGGATATTGAGAGGGCTATGTGTTGAAAAATTGTGTCTGATGAGATTGCTACTCATGGATTTTGACCCTTTTTGTTCAGTTTTTCAAGTCTTGCTTTGGGTCACTGTATGATATTGTGAAACTCATTTTTTTGCCATCATAAAATAACATAGTCCTTTCCTCTTCTCTGCAAGAGAGTGTGAGCTTACAATTTTAGAGCAGAGTAGAATAAGGCACTGGATTTGGTGATTATTGAGTGGATGCCATTTGTTTTCCTTTGGAGAGGTCAGAAGTGCCATATTGAGTATCCACAGATAGTATAAAAGAAACTTTCATTCTAGTTATGATATCCATGATTTAGTACTTGATATAGTTTTAGAGGCTACTGATAAACTCATTTCACATTCTTTGCCTAGAGACTGATAAAGAGACCAGTATGAGACAAATATTATAATATTTATTGAGCTCTCACCATGTGTCAGGCATAGTGGTAAGCTCTTTAAGTTCTAAGAGCCTGGAATACAGTAAGTCTTCAAAAAATGTTATCATTCTCCTTACATGTATTATCTCATTTAATTCTCCCAATAGCCCTGTGAGGTTGGTACTATTTAGCCCCATTTTACAGATAAGGAAGCGGAGGGACAGATTGGTTAAGTAATTTGCTCAAGGCCATGCAGCTAGTAAGTGGAAGAGCCAGGACTCAAATAAGGCAGTCTGACTCTAAGATCTGTACTCTTAATTAGTACTCTAGGAATGTTTCTTAATCTGGGAAATGGCATACATTCAAAGAACTTAAAAGATTATTTCTGGGGGTTTTTTTGCACTTAGTTTTTGTAATTATATTTTTGATAGTCTTTGTGTCTTGAGGTAATATAGTTTTTAAAAGTAGTACTGAAGACTTATCACATTTTCATGAAATCATTATTGAAGAAAGTTGTTGGTAACTGGTACCTGTGTCTAATAATTATGCTTGCTGTACATGGGACCTTTGTGTTCTAGCATGGAAGAGATCAGATACCCAGGAAAAACTGTAATCAGGTGATACCCTAAGTATAAGTAAAACTAGGAGCCTTAACTGGCATTCCATTTATTGTAGGATCAAGTTTAAACTCCTTCCATGGAAGATAAGACCCCTCCTGATTTGGTCCTGGGGTTACTCTGTAGGCTCATCTTCCACCATTCTGTACTCCAATATACTTTTGTGGTGCTGGACCTTTGCAGATGCTGTTTTATCTTTTCTTTCCCCCTTCTCTGATGAGCTGTTATTTATGCTTAATAAGTAAAACTATAATGTCTCCTACATGTGAAGCCATTCCCACCTTTCCAGGAGAGTTAGGTGGTTCCTCCTCTATATACTATACTAATGGCATTGTAACATAATTATTGGTATGCATCTCTACCACTCCCACCAGACTACGAACCCCTCCACACAAGTATCACATTTTGTTTGTCTTTCTTTAGCTCTTTTATCTATGTGTGGTTCATAACAGGTGCTTAATAAGTATTTAATAAATATCACACTTGTGCGATAGAGATTGTGCATTTGGGATAGTTAATAATGACCAATATTTTTTTAGGTGTAGGTTTGGGAAAACTGAAATTCCCTCACACCAGTTGAAATCTGACCATTCTTCAAAGTCCAGACCAAAGACTACCTCTTCTTTATCTCCTTGCTTAAATTCACTTGCCCCACAGTTAAAATTTCCCCTTCCTCTGGGTTATCTAAACTTTGTCAAAGCACTTTTAATTCTCTATATTATAGTCTTTCTTACTAGAACCTTTTGATGGGATAGGAGTCATGCTTTATTCATCTTTGCTTCTCCCTTAGCATTTTAAAGATGGTAGATGTGTAGTTAATATTTATTGGAGTACAGTAATTCATTTTTTGGATAGCTGCCATGATTTTGTAGTTGAGAGATATGGCCTGGTATTTGTCTCTAGGTAATATTCATTTTTTCTTTCTTCTCTCCCTTGTTTAGACAAGGAAATATCTGATGAAGAGTCTGGAGATGGTGATTCAGAGGGACTGGGTATGGAGGAATTCGATGAGGCTGCCATGAGTGCTGAGGAAGAGGAGTGTAGTAGTAATAGGGACAGTAGTCTGGCCTGGAGGAAGGGGAGCACAGTCCACTCTGGGAAGGCGCCAGGCTTCAGTGTCCAGAACATCAAAGACTTTGAAAAATTTACCGAGGGAATGGATGACCTCGGTAGCAGTGAGGAGGAGGAAGACGAAGAAGAGGAGAGTGGCATGGAAGAAGGGGATGGTGAGGAAGACTTCGAGGGTGAGAGTGAGGAAGATAGGGCTGAAGACAGGAACAGTGAAGATGATGGTGTGGTGATGACCTTCTCCAGCGTCAAAGTTTCCGAGGAAGTGGAAAAAGGCAGAGCCGTGAAGAATCAGATAGGTTTGTACATGGTTTGCTGTTTGCTTATTTTTCAGTGTCTGCATTTGATGTCCTTTTTGTTTGTTTATTTGTTTTTGGCTGATCGCTCTCTCCTGTGTCCTTCCAATTAGTTTGTGACATGCCCCACTTATGTGGAGGCCTAAAGCCCTATTCCTCTATGCTTAGCCAGCCATTTCTACATTGAGCTGCTTAGCTGGTTCTGCTCTAGTACTTCTGGCAACTGTGGAAGATTGAAGAGAAGAATGTTTTCTCTTCTCTTTGGGCTTTAGCATTCTCTCTCATGTAGCAAATATTTGCTTCCAAGATACTGAATTTATTTCCTATAATAGATATTGTTTCCATGGCATGAAACTGTGATAAAGCTGTGCTGCTTATCGAGACTAGTGTGATATTCTGTCTCTTCCCCTCCCCAAGAAGATTGTATAAACAAAGAATGGAATTCTTTTTTCTTTCTCAGCATTGTGGGACCAGCTCTTGGAAGGAAGGATCAAACTACAAAAAGCTCTGTTGACTACCAATCAGCTTCCTCAACCAGATGTTTTCCCTATTTTCAAGGACAAAGGTGGCCCAGAATTTGCCAGCGCCCTAAAAAATAGTAAGAATACTTATGCCATATTGGAATACTTAGAACCACTGGGGTGTATTGGGATTGCAGCACAGAGTTGAAGAAGAGAATATGTGGTATTAGTGGTAATATGGTATAAAATAGTAGTTTTTAACTTAAAATGATAGCAATAGAAATCTTATTAAATGAAGATAACTTCGAATGGATTGGATGATTGAGTCATGTCTATTCTGCTTTTTTCTTACCTGCCCTCTCCCCTTCTCCTTGGCTTTCAATTCTTTTAATGCCCAGAGAATACTCTGAAAATCCACTGGTATAGAAGGAAAGGGAGAGAATGAATGACTAAACTCAGTTCGTTTAAGGTAGTTGTATCATGAGCATAAAAGATGCCTTTATTGGGAGGTTTCCAGAACAACAGGCCAAGATGCCAGGTTGCATAGAATGAGGAAAGATGATGACTGCAGAGGGAGGAAAAAGTTTTGGAAGAGAAATGCTGAGCTAAAAGTCTAAGAATTTTAGAAGAGAAAAGGAATTTAGAAATTACTGAGTTTCCAGTCCCCTCATTTTACAGATGAGAGAACTGTAACCCAGAGAGTATGAGTTGCCCAGAGCTACAGAGCTTATTCATGCACAGCAGAAAGAAAACTCCAGCTTTTCTGCCTTATGACCATGGAGCCTTCCTTCTGCGCCATGCTTCCTCCTGTGTACTGTGTGCCAGGGTGCCCAGTGGCTCCAAAGGAGTGGGGTAGAGAGAGATTTGGGGTGAGTGCACTGTGGTTAGAATTGCTATTCCTCATTTACGTACCAGGACTTAGTATTTTCATTTGCTCTTTAAAACTTATTTTTATCATATCATGGAATTAAAAGGGAGCTGAGGAGGATGTCTGATTTGGTGTCTGCCTTTAGGTAGAATCACCTTAAAGCATTCAAAATATATAATGTAAGATTTCTAAGAAAGGGAGTTCTGTGAAACTTTCATGTAGGAGAAAACTTGGTTTAAGTAGGAATTACTTCCTAGGGTCAGTCTTTAGATTAATGTCCTGCCATACTGAAGTCTGCTTCCTATGCGAAAGGCCTGGCTAATCCTTCAGGAACCCTGAAGATAGTGTGAGGGTGGGTCTTGTATCCCCTCCCCCACCTTTTCCTCCTTCCACCCTTAAATAAATGATTAATTGACAGTTTTCAAAGTCTTTGAGATTTTTGGAGCACTTATTTATTTCTCTGCTATTTTTGATGCCCTAGTACCCTAATTCCTGGTATGCCTTGAATAAGACCTAGACTGTTCTAGATTAAGTATTTGGTATGTTTCAGATAAGGTTTTTTCCATTGTGTTCCTTATTACTCTTCTTGCTGGAGCCTTTCCTTTTTTTTTGCGTCATTTAAAAATATTGATATTTTAAAGGTTAGTTAGTGTCAGGTATTTTTTTGTATTTAACCAATTGCCTCTTTGCCTCATTGGCAAACTTCAGTTAATCTGACAGATGTCTATTCTGACAGGGTGGGTTGTGATGGAGGAGGGAGAAGAAAGGAATGTTTGTTTGGTATCACATCTCAGATAGGAGAGTAGAGAGTTCTCGCAACCAGAATTTCTTCACAGCTTGCAGGTAGTTAATTTTTGTTTGTTTCCAATCTTCTTATAACAATATGACATAATATGTTATGTACCTCCTTATCTTGGTAAACGGAGTTTAAGAAAAATTTCTCAGCTACATTCCTCCGATGAACAATTATTCTGTGCTATATAGCTTATAAGGAATATATGCTGTATTTGTACTAACCCCAGAACAAACACTGGAACTTGCTGTCTTAAACTAAATCTCTTCACGTTGTTTGATCTTCATTAGTTAGAGTCAGACTGCCTGGGTTTAGATTCCATCTCAGCAATGGATTAGCCATATGACCTTGGGTAAGTTGCTTAACTTCACAGGAAAATGGTAATAATATGGTTGTGAGGATTAAATGACATAATATAAAACATTAGCACAGTGTCTGGCACACAGCACGAGTGTTAGGAATAGGTATTATTTTTTTCTGCCGAAAGAGACATTTGGCAATGTTCAGACCAGCAAATGATGGTCATCTTTGTATTGAACCATCATCCCCATTGTCTTTCATGTTTTTTGACTTTTTATTAGTATTCACATTACCTATATTATTTAAATTGACCATTTGTTCTGGAAAGTGGATAGTGTTATGTACTACTATAATACTTAAAATTGAACTTGTGCCTTTTATGCTTGTGGAAGGGTGACCAGAGATCTCCTTATTGCCAAACCCAGCTATTGTCTCCCTGAAGCTTTCAACGTTTTCTTGAAATATTTCCCTTTGTCTTTGGTGACACTACATATGCTACTTGGATTCTCTTGTCGTACTTCTCATCTCAGACTCTTACCGTCTCAATGTTAGTTTCATCGCATTTAGGATCTTGTTCTCAGGTAGTGTTTTCTTGATGTGTTCCTTCCTTGACACTGTCATTTACTCTCATAGTCCTAATGAGAGCTTTTAAAACAGCAGACTTCCAGCTATGTTTTAGCCATAGTAAACTTCAGAGTAAACAACATGCCTTCATATCTTCAGTACCCTAAACTCTTCTTTTCAGAAACTAAACAAATATCTTCTTCCTTCCCAGCATACACATGCACTTAGTCTTCAATCACCTTATGTTGTGTTGGTAATTATAACTCTTAAACTGTGAAGTAAATTCAAAGACATTTTTTGATATTTTAGTAGCTGCATAAGTGGTAAGTCATGAAGTAACCTTAGCAAAATTAAGAGATTTTCTATACACAAAACCATTTCTCTAAAGAGGTTAGCTCTTTTTTTTTCTGATTTTCTTGTGAAAAGTTCCATGGTATTAGGAGGCAAATCTTTTATGTTGGTGGCAATGGTATGTATATAAGGAAGAAGGCAAATTACTTAAGGAAGACAGCATGAGTTATTTAAAACTTTTCATTATGGAATATATCAAAAAGTAGGGAGAATTATACAATGAACTTACATACCATTACCAACTAAGCAATCAACTCACAGCCAATCTTATTTTCATCTATACTTATACTAACTCTTCTCCTACTTCTGGATTATTTTGAAGCACATACCTGACATTCTACGATTTTACCAGTAAATCAGCATGTATCTCTAAAAGAAAAAGATTTTTAAAAATCACATACCATTATCTCACATAAAAACATTGACAGTGATTTCTTAATAAGCATAACTGAATTGAATGGATAGAGGAATTGAGAGCATCTCTGTAATAGGCACTCACTACTATCTTTTTCAGAGTTTGCTCTATAACTTTAAACGAAGTGATTAAAGTAAAGCTAAACTTCAGCCATAATAAGTTGACCTTTTAGTGAAATGCATGTTATTAATATATTTAATGAGATGCATTATAAACTGCAGTGAGCACCATGTTTCATTACAGGTCTAAAATGCAATATCATTAAAGACCTTTCGTAGAAACAATGGTTGACATTTTGATATTTCCTATAAGCAAAAAAATCCAAGAATACAGTGTAATGTAATATAAATATAGAGGTAGTGTTGGAATTTTTTACTTTCCTAAGAGTGTAAGAACAAATTCCATTATTAATAAATTACATTTTGTTTGCTCCCTCTTTTTTTTCCCCTTCTAGTTTATATTCATTCTTTCATCTATCTGCGGCCCTTCTAGTCCCTCCACTATTTTAACTCGAATAGACGAAAACTTTTAATGCTAATTTGACCTTAGAACTAATAGATACTTTAACAAATAACTTAAAATTTTGAGTAAGTCATGGGCAGAGTCTTGATAGATATTTCTGTTTTGCTTTTAAATTTTATTTATTTTTAAGTAGGTAATATATTCACATGGCTCAAAATTCAGAAGATAGTAATGACTAGAGAAAAATCCTCCTCCTCCCTCCTGTACCCCCGCTACCCAGTTCTTTATCCCATAGGCAACCAATTTTATCAGCGAAATCCCCCCCTTTTTAATTACTTAGTTGCCTTAGGTGACAAATCCATGAACATTTATTTCGATGTTCTCTCAATTAACACTTTATGGGTTCATGGCAGAGTTCTCACAAATGATCTGTAGAACCCTGAAATAATCTTAATTACTTGGAATAGATTTAAATATTGCTTGGGATGAAGGCACTTGCAAGCTTCTCCAAGAATAGCATTGTGTAGATTAAGGACCCTTATTACTGTGAACTTCATCTAGCTGAGATGATATAAGATTGATCTTTTTGTTTCAGCCGATGGCTATCATTTTTTTAAATAGCTTTACTGTTCTACTTATAAATTATGTCATACTCACTTCAAAAATTTAGGAAATACATAAAAGCATAAAGAAGAAAATAAGGATTACCTGTAATCCTACTGCCCAGAGGTAACAGCAGTTGTCATTTTGATGAATATCCTTTCAGACCTTTTTCTGTGTGTACGTGTGCACATGTGCACACGTGCATGCACACACACCCCTTTTTAAAGCAAAAATGGAATCTTATGTACTTTTTGTAAGCTTATTTATTCTACTTAATATATCATTTTATGTCAGTATATTTAGATGTACATCAGCATTTTCAGTGGCTACAGAATATTCCATTTTATAGATTTACTGCAATTTGTTTAACCAATTGGTATTGATGGATGCTTAGGTTTATTCTAGTTTTTCACTTTTATAAAGCATGCTTTGATAAACATCCCCGCGTATACATACTTGTGCAATTTGTCTAAAAGTAGCACTGCCACATATGTAATTTTAAATTGTCTAGGAACCACATTAAAAAATAAAAATAAAGGTAAAATTAATTTTTGTAATATTTTATTTAACACAATATATCAAAAAATTATTATAATTTTAACATGTAGTCAGTATACACATATTAATGAGACATTTTATATATTTTTTTTCATGTTAAGTGTTTTGAAATCCGAAAAAGAAAAAGTATTCTACACTTAAAAACACATCGCAAAATTTGTACTAATCAGTCACATTTCAGGTGTTCAGTAGCCACATGTGGCTAGTGGATATTGTATCAGAA